GCTGGAATGAAATAACCTTCCCTTGACTTTGAAGAAGGCAAAGTCAGAAGAAACTGCCTTTAGCATCAATGGTATCCCATGAACTGGACTGAATTAGAGGCAAGGCTGAGTTACAAAGGCCTGTATCTAGCCATTACAAATTTTCAGGGCACTTGCAGGAAGGCAAGAGAAATCATATGCATCATGACATCTTTACTCAAATGGTCATCTGCACAATGATGTTATGATGTATGTGATGTCATGATGACTTGTCATCAATGCCAGCGCAGGTTTGAATTGGACTTTTAACTGAAGCTGCATTAAGAGTATGAAGTTTAATGCAGTTTCAGCTAAAGGTCCAATGCAAAGTTAAGAAAAATAGTACAGTGCAAACTGGAGGAGGAAATGTCACATGAAAGATGGCTTTGCAAAACATTGGAGCCAATGGTTGCTGCAAAGAACAAAGACCTGGCAAGTGGAGCAGCTCTTAAAACCTATTCTATACAAGGAGACGACTTGAGATCCCTGGCAAATGCTCCAGACAGCTATTCCTCATAAGGAGACTGCAAGTCAATGGTTGCCAGTGGTTTTAGAGCTGTGGGAGAAATGATGCAAGATGCCATCCTGCTCAGACACTGGCAGGCACCTTTAAAGGACACTATGTTTTTTTAATTACTTTTGCAAATTGCTTGTTAGCTGTTTTTTAGTTATTAGAAATTTTTGATTGACAAGTTTGATAGCACCAGCTGAGTTTCTCTTCAGTCGGTACCAAAATAAAGTTTTGACTACAAGATTTTAAAAAAAAAAACAGCAAAAGAGTGATTAAAAGTTTGATTTTAGAAACCTACAAATGTACTAAAGATCCAGATAAATTTAAAATAAGATTTTGGAATTAATTATAAAGAATCCTTCCCATGGGATAATGCTTTTGTTTTAAATCTTTTTAAAAAAACATAGTAAGATACAATTTTAAAAATTAGACATTAGAGGGAACTTGAGGGAACTAAAGTTTATAATTAAAGGAGAACACATAAACAATTTACAGTTACAGAATGGAGCAAAATATTCTAATATTGGACATACTGAACGATGCTTTTGAAAAAGTGGATTTGGAAATTATTATTAATAGTACCAACAGAGAACATCTGATCCTATGGAAAGATTTGTCTAAAAGATGTTATGGAAGAGAAACAAGTTTCATCTGACAAGATCAAGACTGAATTGAAAGTGGATTTACAAACGATTGGCTACAATGATCTGGGAAAAGATGTTACACTGGACATTCAAAAGAAACTGGCTGATGTTTTAATAATTAAAAGAGACATACAAACAATAAACCAAGAGAATGACTTGGATAATTTTCCTATATTGGATTTATAATAGAGGCTTGTTAATGTTTTGAAGAGTCTTTAAAGAAGGGACATTCTACAAAATTATTAAAGATTGAAATAGTTAGAAGTAAAAAGAAGAAAATATAAAATTGTTTCTTTGGATCAACTTTAGCATAGATATGTTGTTATTTTTGTAATCCTTAGTGGACTTTTGCTAACACCAGGATTGAAATGGCAATGCTTTTGTTTATAAATAAGAGAGGGAATATGAAAGAAGTGCTTAATTGTAGTATTTTAAGAGGAGGTGTTAAGTTACTAAAATTGCTTATACTTGTTGCGATGCAGGTTGGAAGTCAGTTCTTTATTTATCTCTTTTGTTTTTCTTTACTATAGTCTTACTTTTTTCTTTTCTATTTTTCTTTTCTGCCTCTTTCTGTTTTATATTTTTAAACATTGTATTACTTTTTATGTAATTACAATTTTTAATAACATTACTATTCTAAATATTGTGACGCTTATGCACAAGACAAGAACATCACTTTGGAACAGAGAAAAGATCTTATTTAGTAGGATTAATACAATTGGCTTAAACTGTAATTCTGCAGAATATTATCTAATACAGATTAAGTAAGTGGCAACTGCTGGCCAGTCAAATTTCTGTTCTTCTGTGCCAGAATTGTTGAAAGATTACATTCTTATGGTGTAACCAGTGGTGGGATTCAAATATGTGAACAACCAGTTCTCTGTGTGGATGCCGCTTCCAGAAGTCCGTTCTGGGCCTGGGCAACAAAATTAGCTACCGGTTCTGCCGAACTGGTGTGAACCAGCTGAATCCCACCACTGGGTGTAACTAGATAGAGGCTTGCCTGCAGATAATTTCTTAAAGAGGTCTGTGTGTCCCTCCTCCACACTACCCTTAAATATAGCATAATATTCTGATCACATGGTCTGGAATATACACAAGACTGCTTCCCCCACACCCACCAGCTACGTCCTCATTGTTCCAGTCCCCACATATGATTACAAGTATGAATCAGGTTTTAACTGCCCAAGCCTGAATAGTTTGCTGAGAACCACAGATGATTAACCAAGAGAACTATGTGAGGAAGTGCTATATTTAAAACATTTAAAATGTTCTAGATAGGGAAAAAAAAAAAGCCCGTGCTCCCCCACCCATCCCCTTCCAACAAAAATCCTTTGTGGGAGAAGTCATCTTCTATCAGTGCTTGGTCATTTCATAGTCAATAATATACAAATGAAGCCTATGAGAATAATCAGATATTGAGGTGGAAAGGGCTGGAAAGGCAATGATGGCTCAGTGGTGAGATTCAAATATGTGAAGAACCAATTCTCTGTGTGGATGCCACTTCCGGAAGTCCATTCTGGGCCTGGGCCACAAAAAATTAGCTACCGGTTCTGCCAAACTGGTGCTAACTGGCTGAATCCCACCACTGGATGGGCTGCATAAAAATGAAATGCAGGCCTTGGGGAATGGATTAATCAGTGTGCAGGTGGGGGAAGTCATATTTTGATCATCCTAATGTGTATTCATTTAAGGAGACATTTGATACAATGGAAGATTTGAAGAAACCGGAGGCAATGGGGACATTGCAATTTACCCTGGGGGGGACAGCAGTTTAGCATAAACATCTGACTTGCTAGAAGCTCTGAAAGACAAAATAAAATTAATATTTCCATCAAGAAAAGCTATTTAAAAGTTCAGTTCAAGCAGGCAATGGTGAAAACAAAATTGTCCAGCAGTAGACTCCGAAGAGTGATTATTTCAAATCATTGCGTGAACCTCCTCTTTTGTTCAGCAACAAGCTAGGCCATCTCCTCAATCAGTTGTCTCCCTCTCTGTACCCCAAGCACTCATGAGGTAGCAGCCCAAAGCTATTCAAAACCAATCCCAATATGAGTTTGACATACAAGCTGCCTTGCTTTCAATATGCATCTCATTTGGAAGTCCTTCGCTGGGCAGCCTTCTACAACCCAGGCTCATCTAAATATGTAGTTAAAATTTAGATTCATAAACCCAAGGCTTCTGGATGACACTGACTTGGGGAAAGCTTTCCCCAAGTCCATTTCTCTTCCCTAGGTTAATGAAACTAAGACTGATATAATATTGGAAAATCCAGCATTTGTCATTGCATCAGGAGGATCTATAAGATCTGCAGCCTTCCTATTTCCATGACACAAACCAACAAAGGGAACCATATTTGCCTCTGAGCAATTGGTGGAAAATGATTTTTCATGGGAGGAAGGTCAGAGGGAAAGCCGACTGAAGAAAGAAGGAAAGTGGAACCCAGATGTATTGTTCTGTGTTGTCAAGCCTACAAACACAGACTATGCTTGGATTTGCTTATGATTACATTTAACACTGTCAGCCAGCGGTGGGATTTAGCCAGTTCACACCACTTCGGCAGAACTGGTAGCTATTTTTTTGTTGCCTAGGCCTAGAATGGACTTCCGGAAGCAGCATACACACAGAGAACCGGTTGTTCACATATCTGAATCCCACCACTGCTGTCAGCAGACATTATTCAGTGGGTGGGACTCTTCAACTGTGTCCCCAGGGACAGATCATCAGAGCAAGAGGATCACAGTCATGTGAAACTTCCAGTCAAACCAATAGAAGTTAACCTATTCAAATGGAATAAGGGACATGATTCCGTCAGAGCAATCAGTTTAGTTTTAGCTGAAAAGAGGAAGTGTATATGACCACCCAGCACTTCCTGGAGTGCAATAGTCTGATGGATTCCTTTGCAGATGTCACTCATGTATAGAAGTTACATACAAAGAAGGAAGGGAAGCGACATATTGTTGATTCCTGCCCACAGTGTAACCCATTTTGCTAGGGAATTCTGGGGGCTGTATTTCCAACATTTCAGAAGAGTGCCAAAGATTAAAAAGCTGGCAAGGACAGAGCCTTGTCCTTTCTGCTAAATTTTCTATGTGTTGGATTTAAATATTTCCTACCCATATGCATGAATACAGCATTATAAGGAGAGACATATTTTCAAGAAGCAAAGCTTGCTTCTGGTGTTTTCATTTGCTGTTATTTTCATTCAGAGTTCTCACCAAGGCATTCACCTCAATCAAAAAAATATTTTTTTAAAAAAAATATATTGGTTTATGGATTTTAAAAGGAGAGGGTTATCTACTGTCTAGCTGACCACACTTTTCTTACATAGTGAGTAAGATGCTCGCCCCAACACTTCTTTCCACCTACCTGCAGTCCAAGGGCTTCTCTTTTCATGGACTTTGAGTTCAGTTTTCACTGGTCATGAGTTGGGAGCAGACAGCAATCCTGAACAGAGGAAGGACAGCCCTTCTCCTAGTTACACACATCTTTCCCTTCATGGCAACAGGTGGAAAGTGCAAAATGTCAATGTTCAAACAAAAAACCTGATGTACCCACCCAGGAAAAGACAAAAGAAGTAGCTTCCCTCGAGGAAGTCCCAGCCCACCAAGTCAAACATGGCCAGTGCATGTATAAAGGACAGTTGAGTAACCTTGTGGTTTCCTCCCCAGGGGTTGTGGGCGTTGCATGCTCTCTCTCTCTCTCTCTCTCTCTCTCTCTCTCTCTCTCTCTCTCTCTCTCTCTCTCTCTCGTACAAGACTCAGTCTGTAGATAAGCAGCACGCCTCTGGGTTCTGCAGTTCCTTCCACACTTCCCCTGAAGGATACATGATGGAAGCAGCCACAGGGTACCCCTCTGTTTTTGTTGTGGATCCAACACTAAGGGATGTTCCCTTTGTGCCACCCAGACGGAGGAGTCAGAAGAAATGGCAAGCTGGTCAGCTGTTCTTGGGATTCTTGGTGCTGCTGATGCTGAGTGGCTTAACCATCCAAACCTATCTCCTGATTTCCTTTCGCAAGGAACTGGATACAGCAATGGCACAGGTCATAGAGAGTGATCAAGTGTGGTGAGAATGAGGTTCTAGTGGGGCAGGAAGGAGAGGCCAGGGAGTTGGAGGAGGAACCTACTCAATGAATATGCTGGACTATGTGTCCTTGGTGTAATAGGGTTTGGCTTCTCTTCAGTTGAAACCAGGACAGCTATGCTATCATTTGTTGGTGTGGTTGGCTCCACATATTAAGTGTGTGCTCTTGTATGTGTGCAGGGATATGTGTGGTCTGTTGGAGAAAAGAGAATAATAATTTCTTAGGTATGATAAATTCAGAGGGTGGTACTGACAATGACCAAAGTAGCTTTCAAAATGCAAAAATTGGTGGGAGACAGAGAGAGAGAAAGGCACTTCCAGCAAGTCAATTGAACAGCAGGATTTAGATTTCAAAGTTCATTTAAAACAATGGAGCTTTTAAGAGCTATTCAATTAATCTGATCTAAGCATGAGGCCAATATTTAGTGTATGGTACTGCCATTTCTAGTCTCTTTTAATGTATCTTGTATGAGATGGAAATACAAAGGGCAATTAAACAATTGCCTTGCCTCTTTCAGGGAATTTTACAGATAAGCCAACAGAGAATATCTTCTGTTTTGAACCCTTCTATATTTTACTACTATTTTCCCTTTTTTTCTTAAGGAGAAAATGACAGAAGCTGGGCTTCATATATTTATCTATGCCATATCAATAGCTTGCCTGATTTTGCTAGCATGTTCTATAATTTAACCACTGCATACTTTCTAAATCATTGCTAATAGCTAAACAAAATGTGTGAACCAAACCCACTGAGGGTTAACATTCATAAATCAAGATTAATTGCAACTTAGCCTGATGTGTGATTCCAGCCACTGTAGCTCTGCTATGCAGTTGGCTTCTTATCCTAGAATCCTCTCTTATTTTTTGCTCACTTCTGGATTATTAACTACTGATAAAAATGCAAAAATAGGGGGGAATGGTATCCTTCTATTCTGGCTTGGGGTTAAAACCTTCTGCTGACAGAGATTCTAACTTCATACATGTTGCAAGCCACATAACCTAGGAATGGTTTCCATGTTGAATTGAATTCTATATTAGATTTGTTTTACAAATTTGTCATTTTTTACATCTCCTACAATTTAATTTGCCATTATTCTATAGACAGGATTATATGTAATTTCCAATGAGATGCACAACTTTCTTTTTTTACAGCTAACCCCTGGTTGTCCTGATACAATAAAAGCCAAAATAATAATAACATAAAATAAATGCATACCTAAACTAATGATAACAATTATTATTTATCATTATTATTCATGACTTTCTGTGATTTAAGATTTATTTATATGCATATGTAGGTTAAGATGAGACCAGGATATACAGCATTAGGAGGTTTCTATTCTTATCACATTTCTAATAGAACCATAGTAGCACAGGTTTTCATGCAAAAAGGAGAGTTCTCTTCCTCTGTTTTTGCTGGCTTCCGTTCAGACTGACTTTCTGCTCTTGCAAATGCAATTAGATTTGGGGGCAGGGATAGGCAGTTCTAAGAAATATAAGCTATTTTCACCCATATTTATGCCTTCACCAATTTACCCTCAGTGAAAATTCAACTCTTCAAAGTGAAGAATGACTGAATGTTAAAGAATCCTGTGGGGATATCTTGACCAACTCCATCCCATGCATGATCTCTGTGCATATAAACAGTTAATGCAAGAACAAACTTTGTGGATAAGTGCACAGTTGGTGAATTCACCTTAATTTAACTTCTGTTATGGTTGTCCCAGCGGTCTGTTATTGTATTGATTGTTTTTTTCAAATATTTATGTTCCTATTGGAGAAATAGAGGGGAGCAACATGTGCAATCCAGATTTTGAATTCTGGCTTTCTTTCTTTTGGTGGAAATTAATATTCCAAAGAAATGTGCTAAATAAATAAGAATGTTTGTGGAGAGGAAGCATGTATGTGTAGCAAAAGGAGAGATGTTGGGTAGTGAATTTCTAGTGCTTTTTCATTTGGTTTATTAACAATTATCTACTGGGTTTGGGGTTTTTTTAGGGAACAGCCAATGCGACTGCTGAAAAAATTATACAAGGTAAATTTCTCTTCTCTTTTGTTTCAGTCTTCACCTAGAATTGTTTCCATATGATACCTTTAAGTGCCTCAGTGTCATTATTTTTCAGCAATTAGCAGGAAGTAGAATTAAAACAGATTTCACAGATAGTTTAATATAGTACTACAGAAAATTCCATTCCCACATGACAGCTCCACAAAGCAAAGGACCAGGTTAGGGAGAGAGGGTCATGGAGCAAATCTATCTGTGGTCATTAAAATTCAACACCAACTTGATGGCACACAACCAATCTATCCAATGCTAAGTGACAATTTCTATGCTGCAGATTCAGTCAATTTACATGCTACTCCTTCCCTCTTTGCAGGGTGGGAAGTTTATTGATGAATGCCTCCTTAATGGTGCTCTTTTAGCCCATTCTGCCCCACAACAGAGTATGCAAATGTGTATATGCATATTCACAGTTACTGGTGTCATCTCCTTACTGTTTTTCCTTTTCGTTACAATAGTGAGTAGTCCCAAAAGTGCTTTTTTCCAAAAGGCAACTGGATGTTTCGCTTCTTGGATGAGAAGTGAAATGTCTTCAAGGAGAAAACAAAGTCCAGTTGCCTTTTGGAAAAAAAGCACTTTTGAGATAACCATGACGTGGATGACTGAGAATCTCCATAGACAATAGTGAATAGTATTACTTTGCAATGAAATACAAGAAAGAGGAAAGCAATTCAACCATCAATCAGTGTGCTTTGACTGTACCAAAGAAACACACATGTATAGTTCTCTTCACTGTTAAGGCTTAACAGATTAGCATTTCTCAGATTCATTTTGCAATAGAACCTAGTAAGTGCTAGGTGAGTGATGGCAAATCATTTGGATTCAGCATGTCAAAAATTAGAAAAAAAACTAATTTGACCCTCTTGGCATGTCAACCCCTCCCCCAAACAAAAGAGAAACAATTCTCTATCTCCCTTCCACCTAGGCCACTCTGAACAACAACACTAGGTGACAGCACTGAGACTGAGACTGAAGTAGAGGCCCTGGGCCTCAATTTCACCCCTAGTGCCACCACTGCCATTCAAAAAGGCCACCTAGTACCCTTCCTCAAGTCATGTGAGCCTTGGAGAATGGCATGATTGCTCTCATGGCCCAGTGTTCCCCGGGATTTGGTGCATGCTACTTACCATTAGGCGGTCTTCTGCAGCCTACCTGAGGCTGCTCTGGGTCACCTGAAGTTTTTATTCTTAAGCAACTTCACAGAATGTTCTCCTGCAGCCTCTGAAGACTGTACAAAAATCATTCTTTCACATCCTTCATGGCCTCCGAACAGTGCATGAAAATGTGGCATGCTTTTGAGAATACTGTAGTTGGTGTCGAATGTTGTGAACGCAGATGTGTTGTGCCATGTCATCTTTGACATACATGTCATAGGTTTGCCATCACTGTATTAGATGTATCAGTAGCCAAAGATCCTCCATCCAATCTTTAAAAAAAAAAACATTCGGGAATATTATTTTTAAAAATCACCATTTCTTAATTTTTTTAATAATTCACTGATTGTGGTGGGTATTGCTCCTGTAATACAGTAAAAATACTCGCATTTCATCTCTTTATTCCAAAGCATTTCTTTGAGCTGAAGGAAAGTTGAAATGATCTGGATTTCTTAGCACTGCCCAGTTGCTCTATCACCAGAACAGACAGGCAATTATTTCTGAAAGGCAAAAAATGGAGGGCTCTATCACCTGTAGATAGATAGATAGATAGATAGATAGATAGATAGATAGATAGATAGATAGATAGATAGATAGATAGATAGATAGATAGAAAGAAAGAAAGAAAGAAAGAAAGAAAGAAAGAAAGAAAGAAAGAAAGAAAGAAAGAAAGAATCTCCCATTCCCTGTCAAAGTAACCTCGTGGAGCATTTTTCTGCTCCATTTCTAAAGTGCACGTTTCCCTGATATGTTGCCTGGGATGCTCCTGTCCATTTGGGGTAAAATTCTGCAAGTGAATTTCACTGGCTCCTATAGAAACAAAGGGCTGCCTCTTCAATGGAGCCAATGCTTATCATTTACTCTAATGGTTTTTAGACCTAAAGAAGGTAGTATAGTCACTATGATTTGGCCTTTGAAACATTATTATTAGTTTTCCCCCTGGGATTTTTGTTTTTAAAATAAGTTCAGGGCTCAATGTTTTTTTTTTCTAATCTGAGGTAAAAAGGGTGGGGTTTTTTTTACATTTTGATACTTTACTTTTGTACATATGTGCATGTGTTGTGTTGTCTGCTTAAAACTGCTTAGAGTCAGGTTTGTTGAGGGCTGGAAGATTATTGATGAATGCCCCTTTAATGGCCCTCTGTTAGCCCTTTTGATAAGGCACCAAATGGCAAAATAATAAGGAATAATAAAGTATTTTGTGGTAAAAACTACCAGTGTTATTCTGGCATAAACTTTAGTGAGCTACAGTTCATATTATTAGGGCTAACTAAGAGCCAGTTTGGTTTAGTAATTAAGGCACCAGGCTAGAAGCCAGGAGACTGTGAGTTCTAGTCTCACCGTATCATGCAAGCCGGCTGGGTGACTTTGAATCAATCCCTTTCTCTCTGCCCTTGATGCCAGGCTTGGGCAACAAGCTGGTTGGTCAATTCCTGTCACAAACAATGGATCAGTTGATTAAAAAAAAAGCATACTGCACTTGTGGGAAAACACTAGGAAGAAAACTGTACCAAAGGTGCTTTTTTCCAAAAGGCAGCTGGACTTTCTTGGGTTTTTTTTCCCTCTTGAAAACATTTTGCTTCTCATCCAAGAAGCTTCTTCAATTCGTTATTATCAGAACTGAAAAAGCTTTCAAAAGGAAAAATAAAACCAAGAAAGTCCAATTGCCTTTTGGAAAAAGCACCTTTGAGACAACCATGACCTGGATAATTCAAAATCTCCATAGACTTTATATTTCCTTGGTGAGTAAAAAAAGTCAAATCAAGTCTTTAAACTGATTACATTACCATTACCCACCCTCTCAGTTACACTTCTGGTTACATACTGTGTCAATTTTTCCACACTTTAAGGGAATAATGTATAATACATTAGTGGAACAATTCATAGTAACCTATTATAAGCATGGAATAACGCTGTGGGTGAGACACTGTAGGAGTATGGAGGGTCTATAAAAAAGATATACAGTATACATCTTGATAGAAACAGCAATGGAAAGAGTATTACCAAACAAACCATAAGAATTACTTTTTGAGAACTGTTTTTCCCACCAGGTCCCCCCCCCCAATGAAATATGACATTCAAAATTCTCAATGAGCATAACTATTGAAATTTGGGAGTTGTAGTCTCAAAACATCTGAACATAACCAGGCTAGTAAAGGCTGAATGAGCAAGTGAAGCATCAATAAACACAATTTGTCTAACCAGGCCATGCAGTTTTTTCAAACATTAGTTGACAGTTACCTTGGTTCACCCAGCTGAATAGGAAAGAGCAATATGATGCTCTTCTTTAATTCCCATCAATTCTGGGAGGAATGTGCCTAGACTGCCATCCTTTTCTGTGCACAATTTAAGGCCCTGACATTGATTTACAAAGTCCTAATCAGCAGGACCTGATTATCTGAATGTCTACATATTCCATTCTGCATCTGTCTTGGCATCAGGTCCTGCTTCAGAAAGATGCTCCTACTCTTCAAAGCCTAGTTAGCAAATGCATGGAGAGAACTTCATCTCTTGCTCCCAAATTACAGAACAATTCCCTGTACAAAACAGGTGATCCTAGTGGTGAAGACACTTGCCTCCCATTGGAAGGTTGAAAGTTCAATCTTAGGTAGCAGCAGATGTTTCTCTCCTAGGGTGCACAGAAAAAATATCTGCTGCAAACTCCGCATAGGCGCCAGGAAGGGCATCCAACCAGTAAACACTCAGCTCCATCCACTCGCCTGGACTCTACCTGAATAGGGACTATAGGGTCATGAAAGAGAGTTTTATGCTATTGATAGTTTTGAATCTTTTGATGCATACAATTAATGTATTTTATTTTTCAATATATATATAATTACATTCTATCATTTGCAATGTTTGTAATATGCCTTCATTAGCGTGTATAGAGCTTGTACAGAGCCTTCTCAAGCTGGTACCTGTTTTGATAACAATCAGTTTCATCTTATTCCTTTTAACAGCTCCACCCAAGCCTCCTCTCAAAAGGCCATCTGCTCATCTGACACTAGGTAGGAAATCTTCTCATAAAGCCATATTTGTATTCATCTTTTAAATGCATGGAAGCTGAAGTAGGACTAGTTCGCTGCATGTGAATAAGACAGAATCCTTGAGACCTGGCTGGGAGATTTTGGGAGTTGAAGTCCACACATCTTAAAATTGCTGAGGGTGAGGAACACTGCTTTAGACACATGTGAAGCTAACTCAGCCATTATGGTTGTCATTTATTCCTCTGTTAGATTTCTGTACCACTTTCCTTCCAGGAGAGTAAGGTGGTACTCTCTCCTTCAATTTATCCCTGTGATGGAAGGTACACTAAGAAAGAGAGAGGAATTATCTACTAAAATCACCCAGTGAGCATCATAGCTGAGGGTGGATGTCTCATACCTACAGCAAAGCAGCATCCATATGTGAGGATATTACGTTGAAATAAACCTGCTGTTGGGGGTAAGGGAGGTAAAGCTCAGAGCTCACTGCCTTTTCCCTTCCCAAAATGTAGTTTCAGCTTAAATTGAGGCAATGACTCTCCAATGTTCACAGTCCCCTCCGTGCATGTATATGTGTATGTGTGTGTTTTGAAGCCAGATTTTTAAAATTAGTTTTCATTGCTGATCTATTAGTGAAGGTTCTATGCAAATTGTTTGATTACCTCTCCGCCCATCTATGAAACAAGGCTGGTTGTGTTTTCCAGAACCCCCCGACACTGCAATTATAGATGGAGTCCTGCAGTGGGAACATCAGAACGGGTTTGCTTTTCTGCACGACATGGACTACAAAGCTGGTTCACTGATTTCCAATGAGTCTGGCTACTACTATGTCTATTCAAAGCTCACCTTGGCATATTCAAGCTGTTTAACCAAACACCGGGGAAATTCCCTGTTCACCCACAGCATTTACAAGAGGACATCTCAATATCCCGAGGAGTTATTACTGCTGACCAACTACATTACCTATTGCAACTCTAAGGACAGTGAACAGTGGCAGGGCAATAGCTTCCTTGCTGGGGTGGTGTATCTAGAAGAGGAAGAAGAAGTGTTCATCAAAGTAACAAACGGGGAGTTGCTGTTCTACAGGGATGACTCGATATCACATTTCGGCACCTTCATGATCTAAAGGCTTGAAGGTTTTGCATAGACTTGATTTTAGTTGAGCAATGAGAAGGGCCTCTTTCTTGTACTGCAGTGGAGTCACCTCTCAACGTTGCTTCAGCCATTTTTCAAATACTCTGAAGGAAGGGCAAGGGGCCTGCTCATTTTTTCAGAAGAAAAAGTTGTTTGGTAAACTGTTGGATAGCCATGACCAAAATAAAAAAGGATGAGAAAATATTTGGGGGTGGGAGGGAGGACATAGAGCTAGCTGACATTTCTTTGACTGGCATCCCAAATGTATGCCTGTTTTAGGTGACAGGTGCACTTCTTTTGGGAGAGGGGGCAGCTAACTCTGTTTTTATACATTATTATTTGAAAAGCTGTAAAATCCTGCAAAAGCAGTTTTATAAGGAGTCATGGTGGACAAAGAAAATGAGAAGACAATGTATCACCTCATGGTCTCTGAAAAGCTGCTGTATGTACAGGAGCCTTTCCTCACTTGCACCTACTCACAACATAAACCTGCCCTGGCAGTCTCTAGGTTCTGCCTTGTCCCCATGAGGTTGCCTTTGTCTTGTTCCCAGCAGCCCAGCACTGAGAAAAACCTTGGAATGATATTTTCCTCTCTTATCTTGACCCTTCCTGAGGGCAGCCTTGAGTTGTGTAAACTCTGTTGGGTTTTGTCACCCTTGGAGTGAAGTCAGGGAACTACCCTTGAGTGGAAACAAAAGGCAGGACATGGATGGACTCTGGGCAGAGACACGTTCTGCCTGGGGGAGCTTGGATGGATGGGCAGCACTTCAACTCTGCAGTAGAGAGAGGCCTTAAGATCAAGATTGTGGACTCATGAGTCACTTCATCTTGAATGGTCTAACCAGCACATTCCAGAATGCCATTTTATAATTACACTGACACAGCATTGTTGAGCCAAGGAGCTTCCTGTGCTGGCGACTGTTGCTTATCATTGCAGTGAAATGTCAAATGTAAGCTAAGCTTGAATGACTGGGCAGCTTTCTGACTATGACATGGGTCCTATAGTCAGGAATAAATAGCCATTCCTTTGTTATTGGCTTCAGAGCCCAGGAAGCCATTTAGTACTTGGATAGACATTGCCACTTTGAGCCTTTAGGCCTTATTTATTCTCTGATGCTTCTCCCTCATCTCCTACCAAAGGATCTTGGAAGGGGTTATATTAACCATTCTCTTCTATGAGTGCCTAGCTGCTTTTCATTCTGCACAGTTGCTGCATTAACATAGGAATATCCATAGAATAGTATTGGATCACGTGATCGTGTCACTACTGTAATGCCCAAAGAGGGCAGCATTTCCTGGATTAGTCACTGGCTCATGCTACCCAATCAGGAATTATGTACTAAACAGGGCAACTCTTGCCAAACCGTTTGACCAATTAGATTTGGTTACATGATATCCCTTAAGGAAAAGAGGACTATATAAACAAAAGAGGAGCATTGAAATATTATTGAAAGCAGAGGAAGTATGATACTTTTTGAAATATGTGTAGATGGCCACCTTAATACTGAAGGTATGATTAAAAGTAAATCTAACCAAAATGACCTCTGCTCTAGTGCTTAGAGAAATCATTCAGTCCTTTATTAAATAAGAAGGAAATTGATTAATTCCAAATCTTGTATTGAATGGGATCATTATACATTGACGTAAACCAGGGTCCCAAAGAAGGGCACTAAGCAATTTTAATGAAGCAGCTACTGTATGTATGTGATAAAATAAAATTTCAAAGATTAATGTGTCTTTACTCAAATATATTGCTTGTGGGAATGCTCTGAAATAGGACTTGAAAACTGCAGCTATGATAAAATATGGCAGCCAGGGATGTTTCCATGCCATATTACATCTTGTTTAAGTTACACTGGTTTCCAGATTATTTCCCAACACAGAAAGCTTTAAAGCTTTCATCAGTTTAGATGGAGGTTTTCCTCATTGCCTCTTGGCCTTGCAGGACACAGGTTAACTGGCAGAAATGTCTGTGGAGTAGCAGAGGAAAGGTCCAAAAAATCAACAGCCAATTGAAATCCTTTTTTATCTGTGTTGCATGTAAAAATGGGGTAAGATCTTGATCATGCAGTTGCAGCATGTTCTTTTTTTTAACCTCCTCTGCAGACATTCTGGGATAATCTCACTTACAGGACCAAGCCCTGGAAAATTTAGTTAGCTACCTAGCTTTCGCTCTTGAGAGATTGATCAAAGCCTCTTCTTTTTCCAGGCTTTTTGGGAGAGTTAAGCTTGGCATCCTGCTGCTATACTTGATCGACTGTTGTTCGGTTACTTCCTATTCTTTTATGTTTTATTGAGATATTGCTATGATTTGATACTATAGGCTTTTCATCTGTATAATAAGTAGCCTTATTTTTTTGTTTTGGAATTGAAAGACTGGTTTTATATCTCTGAAATAAACAAATACGCTTTTGCAAAAGCTATCTAAATGGTGTGGTCATGCAGTGCTGAGCAAAGTTCAAATGAAAAAGTTGGGATGACAAAAGATGTTGAGATGGCATAAGCCAGTTAGGCCTTGTTTTCTCTTATTTCATAACTTATTTGCCAATTCTGGTCAAAAGATACACATGCATATATGTGCCTCTCTCAGAACCATTTTCACATCTCTGAAAAACTCTCTCTGACACTAGATTCCTTGACTTTTCAGTGGCTCTTTAATCTCTATTGTATTGTCTAATGATGTGTATAAGTCCTTCATTCAAGAAAAGAAGAACAATGGAATGAGACATCCCATGAGATGGTAGCATTTCACAGATGGCATCCAGAGCATGCTAACTCTACTAGACCTTATCTGACAGATTGAAGCCATTGGACAAAGATGGTTCCATTGCTATCCAGTCCCTGAGCCTTACAGGGCTTTAGAGTTGTCTACCAAACCTGGAACCAGCTACTTACTACTTACTTCTGAATCAGAGTGTCACTTGTGTGGCTATAGGTTACACTTCACTGTCTTAGCCACAGTGAGCTGACTGTGGGCTTCCAGATGTAATGAAAAACATCATCTAGTATCCTTTATCATGAAATGTATCTCCTGGTGCAGCAGCTCCCCTGGAGATTGCAGGCTGTCTGCCTCGGTGGAAGATGCTGCTTTTTTTAATGCTAGGGAATTACAGTAAAACTGAGAATAATATAACTCTGCTTATTATGTATAGGGGGGAAAGGTTTCTGGATAACTATGGATGAAGAACAAATAATAATTAGGTTCATTTGGAGATAAATAGGAAAGTGTTGGCAATAGATGTTTGCAATGTTATTATAAAGATTCACATGGTTTCTGCTGTGCCTCACACTTGCTTCCTTTAGTCAAACCGCATCACAGGGGGCTCAATAGCATTACAGAAAGGATTTCCTGTGGCCTGCAATGCTTGGCTGGCTGGAGTGTGTTGAAGAGAAGGGCGGTAGATGGAAAACTGCAACATTTTTGTAACCTGAACCAAAACCATGAGCTCAGTTTTAGCAGCGTTGTCTGGTGTGGTAGAAAGCCACCCACGACGAGCTTCATTTACTGAATACTGGCCCTTGTGAAAGGAACAAATTAAATTCCAGGACATTAACCTGAGGCTCTAGGTTGAACCCAGTGGTTCCTCCACCAGCAGCATCTATATAGTCCTTAGATGAGTGAAACCTGAAAAATTACTGAAAATACACAGGGTGCTTTCAAGTACATGAAAATCACTCTCTCTTTAGCTTAGAGCTTTTATCCATTTGCCCTTAACCACAATACAAAAATCTCAGAGTGAAACAGGCACAAGCCACCATTATCTGTTTCAGGGTTAAAACTTCTATTTCCACCCTTAAGCTTTAAAAGCTTCCACCCTTAAGCTTTAAAAGCTGTTGTGTTTCACTGATTTATGTCAGAAACAGGTCAGGAGAGGGGGGGTGAATAGTCTTATTGGACATTTTAGACTGCACCCTCTGCTTGTAAGGGTATGTGGGAATGACCCAGGGAGACTAGGGGAGGGGAGAGGAAGATGCTGCCTAGGGAATGATCAGATAAGGACTGATCATAGGGAGAGAAGGCATGGCCTGCAGCTACATAATGGATGGAGAAAGAACCTCAGAAGGGAACCCTCCCACCCACCCCACAATTTCTCAAGCTGTAAAAGAGAGGATGAGAGATTTGTACTATCAGATCTGCAGAACTGATATCAGCCTTCCCAAGTAGACCAGACAGGAAACGATAATAGATGAGCTATTCTATTGTAAGGCTACATTAACACAGTTTGTTAATTTGATTGGGGGGCTTTCCAAATCCCCCACCATCTCTTTTTACATCCTCAGAAGTTACGCAGTGATGTGGAACAGTGGGACATAGAGGCAGTGCAGGGAAGGCAATTAGAGCCACAAATATCATGCTGGTGCAATTTGGGGCCAACATGAGGATGGGTGGAAATAACCCAGCAGCACGGAAGGCCCTCAAACCAGTTGTTACTCAGATATCCCCAAAGCTCAAATGGTTTGTGGCTGCCACCACTGCCGCTGATGGCTCGGTGCATAGAATTTTGTGCAAACCATGACCTATATCCAGGTTTGTCAGTAAAATTCTTTTAGTGGGCAGTTCTTAAAACTCCCTTCCCTTCTCTTTAAAAGGTTCCGTTTCTGAGAACTTAGGGCTAGGAAAGTACCAATGATTGTATCAAATAATGCAAGTCTTTTATTCTAACTTTTCTTCTATCACAAATTCAATCAAGAAAACCACCATCGCCATTATGTGGACCGGAGTAATCTGTCCTTCTGTACTGTTAGGAAGTTCATTTTCCCCCAAGATACATATCTCTTCTTCTGTGTATGGCACTAATACAAATCTAACATGTATTTGAAACAAACACCAATAAGCACTATACATTTAATCAAATCATATCCATTAAGAGTTTCTATTAGGGAAGTTGTGCATCTGAACTAGGGTAGAAAAGTAATTTATGCATAGTATAAAATTCCATATCCTGCTTCTCCCAAACTGCTTAAGATAACTAGAATTTATCCTTACTATTT